TTTTATAGATTTTGTATCACATTTTCTACTCTTCTAATCAGCTTTTCTGTCCGTAAAAAGACTGTAACTACTTACTTACAACAATTTGGCGTTAACTTTCTCTCATTTTTCACCATTAGCGTTTCTACTTGAGCAATGTGGAAAACAACTCTTTACGTTTACTTATTTCATGATGAAACGAATTTCAATTCCGTGTTTTACTCCATTCATGGAAACACAACATGATTTCCAATTAATTTGTAGAGTACTTTTTAAGTTTTTGCTCATTAGTTAGATACCTTTTAAGGTAAAAGCTTCATTATGCGCACCGTCTGAATTTTAAAAATGTCTGCCAAAAATAATTTAATTTGTAATATGCATTTAAATGGGGATAGAATTATTTATGAAGGATTTTTTTTCCGTATTGATCAAGCTTAAAAAAATTCGTTACTTTAGTATTCAAAGCGAGCTTCCATTGGAGTAATTTTCGTTGCGCTAATAACGATTTGGTTGTCTGAAAATGAACTACGCAAATAGTTAATGAGCCAGGAAACCTAATATTGGGGAATTTTCTCCGAAAATATTACGAGATCGCGTAAATTTTTATTCATTAATAAAATTCAAGTTGCCGGTGTAATCACTGTGCTAAAATATAGTAATATGCACCAAAGATAAAGATAGAATAACGATCAATCAGTAAAACACGACCATTACCAGAAATTTTAGGACAAAATGTCACATTTTTAAATCATAAAAAAGACGTATAGTGTGGAAGTGACGAACAAAAACAAATAGGGGTTTTTGTGCGAAGTCTGCTGGAGACTAACTTCCTTTGTTTCGTATGGAACGATTCATTCCAGTTATGAGCGGAAATATTGATTCCTGAGCTAATGGAATTGAAATTTTTTCCCTCATATACATAGGAGGCATAAATAAATAACAAATTATGTTCAACTCAGACATTCCAATGATGCACCTGGGTATCTGCTGCCTGAGGGTTCCCGCAGGAAATCAGAAATCCGACTAAACAAAGAAAAGAAATAAATCGAGTATTATTCACCTGAAGTAACCCAGAATTTATGGTAAAAAAAATTTGAACTAAATTTTTATGACAAGTTCTTTTCAGTGGCTTTCAGGTCTTCCAGAAAATATATAAATATTTTATCGTATTGTAATTTTAGACTTGGTAGAAATTGTCATTACTACTTCTTGACTGTAAGCTAGGGAAGTTTGTAATATTATCAAGAAATTATTAATTTCATAGCTTCTCGACGTTTCATTGCTCTTAGAATATAAGAAGATAGGTCCCTTTGTTCCATCTTTCAGTTGCTGTTATGTGTTAACTATATTAAATAAGAGCTCTTTGAAACTAGTGGACTGCGAAATTTACTAATTTGATTTAAGAATACATATTGTGTAAATGCGTGACCCATCAAAACAGGTCCGTCAAAATAGCCCGGTATGAAATTTTCGTAGTTAAAAAAAAAATTGTTATAACTTTTGTTTCACAAATTGCAGATTTTTTAAGAATGTACTTTCTGATTACTATCTAAAAAATACATTTATATGTAGTACGCACCAAGTATGCAGTATCTATGCAACAGGTGATATGCGAATAAACAACGGTATTTAACAGTGAATCATGCATGTACATATAACGAGTGATCAAAAATTTTTAGATTAAAGTTGGCCATGGGAATATTTGCCATGTCTTTGATTAAAATGCAATTGTCAAAAATCGCAAATTATTGAAATACAAATGATGTTATGCATGACATTTACAGTTTAATCAAAGACATGACGAATATTTCTATGGCCAACTCTAATCTAGAAACTTTTTCATCACCCGTTATTTTGTGTGTGATATTTTTGCTCACTTGTGTCGGGAGTTATTGTGTCGGGGTGGCGAAATAAGTCACCAAAATTATAATTTTTTTTTATTTACCTCTAAATAGAACTTGACTTTAGGCAAACCTAAGGTATATTAGCATAATCTTTTGTACATTTTTTTTAGAATTTACTTGGAACAATTTTGGAATGTCATTTTTGGTGAATGAACCAATAATTTTCGTTGAATCTTTTACCTTCTACACAGAACCCAGTCTTCAGCCAAATTCAATTTTTACTATACTGAAATTAAAAAAAAGCACTTCTGCTTACTTATTTCTAATCGCATTAGTTTAACAGATGAATTCATTATATTATTGCAAAATTAATTTAAATTATTTGATATAATAATTCTCCATCCACAGAAGTACAGTTACATTGCAATAATCTTGTAAGACATTTAAAATTTTAAAGTAACATGGTAAAATCGTCAAAAGAAATACAAATCAGGGAGAAATTGGTACAAAAACCTATACAGATAGACGGATACAACGCGTTTTCGTATTTTCCACTCTGTAAAATTTCAGGAACAGATGAAATTAAACATTTAAGATAATAACTCTATTTCATTGATTTCCTTAGCGCAAACTCCGAAAGTACAATAGTTGTTTGTTGACGTATGTCTTCATTCACCTTTATTATAAAGTGTTCTATTTAAAAAAATTCTTATAAATTTTACTAAGTTTATTAAGTGAATCTATCCCTTACCTGAAATCCCCTTGTTGCTATATTATCCTTAAGTAGTAATCTAGATGTTATGTGAGCAAAACATTCCAATTTAATATTAATAATATAATGTATACTTTATTGTCTAATCGGATTAATTTCCCAATTACAGCACAACAATAACTAATTGTACAATACATTAAAGAAAAAAAAATGTACACAAAATATCAATAACATACTTAGTAACAAATTAGCAAAATATGTCTTCTAGTTAAACAATCATTTCCACAACGACTAATTGTGTCAATACTGTCAATCTTTAATAATAGTAATATAAATAATTTTTAAATTTTAATATTATCCATTCACGATCTTTTCGATGTAAAGTAGGAATTGATACCCCTTTCTTCATTCTCCAACATGATTCCTATCGATTGATTGATTGAATATTGTATAATTTTTTGTGTGTCAGTAGTATGACATAAATATCCCGATATTTACTTTGAGCTAGTTTGTCAGTTTTCTACTACATACATCAGATACATATTTTAATCAAGTAACCTAAAAGTTTAATTTTGTCAACATAAAATAATTTCAGCAGAAAATGCCGAAAATTGTTCTATTATAACAAAAAATTGCCATAGAAAGATGTTTTTTCCAATTGTTCTAACACATTTCTTTTCCTTACATTGAAAACAACGGAACCTCATAAAAAATTTAGTCTCAGGTTATTTACACAAAACTTTCCTCGTCTCTGAAGTAGAATACAACATATCCAGGTTTTTCAAAAATTAAAGATTTGGTTTTGCGATTTTTATTTATTTTTTATGAAAACCCCTATAAGTTAAAAATATATATGTACATAAAAATAAAGAAACGTACTATAATAACAAACAGTAGGTACTGTTTCCGCAAATTTTCGGAAAAATGGAGTAACCCGTTATTGATATAATCAATAAAATAAACTGACTTATTTTTAATTTTTTTGAGTCGCCCTGTATAAGCATCTAAAAAATATGGATGCAGTGAAATCACAAGTATAGACCGTAATTTTTGCACATTTTAATAGAATATATTTCACATAATTTTGAGTATTTTATAGATACAGTATTTTATTTCATAAAATTTAAATAACATTTGTACAATTTCGAGGTGACGTCATCTCGTTCATCACCATTATTCTCCTCCAAAATAACTTCCGTTTTCTTTGTTTATTTAAAAAAGCGTTTTTTAAGAAAATATGGTGATTTTTGATATCATAAAATCTAATAAAATATTAAGAATTTACACTGAAGATAAATAAAAGCATCCATAAAGGTGTTCTGCTTCAAAAAGTGCACAATAATGGAATAAAAATTCGTATGCTATTTCAGAAACTGTAATATGAAAAATCCTTTTGGAACACATGGAACCCAACTGCTGAACAGTTCCAACGAATAAATCAATCTTACTGATGATTGTTTTCATTTTCAAAGTTCAGTGAGAATGAAAAGGTAAAATGTGAAATCACAAAGGCAGAAAAACCACAATAAATCAGGACAAAAGTTCGATTTCTCGACGGTAATACAAAACAGAAACAAGAAATATTACAACGCACTAATCTAAAAAATGACCGATATTAGACACACAGCACTTAACTCATTATTAGGTAAATTTATTTGATAGAAGTCGCTATAAAGCGACAAAATATTTTATGGTGCCAATGTGCCCAAGTCATTGGGGACACTTTGTACACATTATAGCCTACTCTGAAGCATCTTGTACAGTGAAATTAGTTTCTGCTGTCTATTAATCATCTGAATATTTTTTAGATCCAATCTCACAAAACTGTTTCTCAAAAATATAACATTTCCAAAGCCGAACCTTGCATTTTGAAGTTCATGTTTCCTAACTTTTCTAAAATCTAAAATGTCATGAAATCAAGGAAAATGTTATTTAAAATAATATCAGAAAAATAATCCTTAAGTAAAGTAATATATACGAAAAAGGGAATAGTCTTTATAATCTTTGACCCCAATTTGTTCCTTTTTATTTCCAAAAAATAATTAAATCAATTTTCGCAAGTTTTTGAATTTTATCAAAAATCTGTATTCAATTAATTCACGCGTTAATTGCTGCGGACTAACAATTTCTATTCTCATACATACACAACAAAGCAACAATATTTTCTTTGTAAAATAAATGACTTTTCCTCTCTTTTGTTATCACATGGCTGATCGATATTAGTCATTATGCATTCCAAGAAAAATAGTACACCATGTATTGTCGTACGATTTATAATTCATGAGAACACCTCATCCTTTACGTGACATCTTATTCTTGTATTGAAGCGCTGCCAAGATATACCCCAACAAAATAATTCCAGGCCAATGTCATACGAAACTTAGCAAATTATGAATAATCAATCGCCATAAACCTCCTATAAATACCTACATGGACAAAACACCCACAGTCTTCTTTCCAGTCGCTTACCAGCATGAAGCTCCTAGTGGTTCTTGCCATCATCGGCGCAGCTTACGCCGACTTCCACACTTTCAATCAAAGATATCCCATCGAAAGTCGAGAACAAGACGGCCCTTACCAGCCCTCTGGATGGAGACCCTCGGGCCCTCGTTTCTCCCTTCCGGCTCGTCAACAATTGCCCAGACAAGATTTCGCGTTTAGTCTGCCAGCCCGTCAACAGCTGCCGCGTCAAGAGTTCAGCCCTCCGCCTCAAACTTACGGCCCTCCACCCACTTACGGGCCCCCAGCCCAGGAATATGGCCCGCCAGAAGCTACGACAACCGAGGCCCAAGAGATTACTACGACCGAGCTGCCCACAACCACCGAAAACGTTGTTGAAGAGGCCGAACAACTCAACGATTCACAGAAGGAGAACGAAGTGAAGGAAAATGAGAAATTGACCGAAGAGAATTCCGCGGTTTCTGAACAAGGAATTTATTATATCTATCATCCGAGTGGGTTATTGCAGAGGGTTATTTATATGACCAAAGATGATGTGCCAAATATGGCCTACAGTGCTCAACTGAAGTACGAGAATGTTGAGCCCATTCGAGAGCCGATCTACACTTATGACCCCAAAACTCTCATTTTCAGGCAGCTGCAGATATAAAATTTGCTGGGAGAAATAAGGGAGGATCGTTTTATTGCATAATTTATTTTTGTTAGGATATTTATTGTTGTTATTTATTCTGCAAGAGGGCGATGCATAACTTATAGGTTCGCATTGTGTGAAAACTTAAAAAATAAAATAAAAGATTCCAAATGGCGGTGCTTTTAATTACATTAAGGGGTCTGGATAATGGCCAGACGTTTCCATGGTTACGCTTACCAAACTGAATGAAATTGTGCTAGTTCGTAAATTTTCGTGGAAAAACTTAAATATTTCTTAGGAGAAAAACTTTTCCGGAACGGCATTATCAAAACATCATTAATTATTTTCTACTCGCTCTGGTAAAAATGAATTCTATTTTGGTTAATTAAAACTATATTTATTTAAACATTTTATCTAAATATTTTGGAGCATTGACTTCAACAGTTTGTTAAGGTACCACCATAAAAAAATTCCTTAGTTATCGACACAAAAAACGATAAAACCACTTTTCTTTGAGTTTCAACTGAGTCATGTTAAATAAATTGTTACGTAATTGTAACAGAACATTAAAGAGACACATATTTTTATGTGAATTTACTTGTACACATGTTTGGAGAGTTGTATCCCCACTACATTTTTTTGAAAGGATAATGAAGTAAATTTCTATTTACTTACTCATTTCTATTAGACGATACAAAACGCAGTGTATATTTTTACTTCTCTGCGTTAGCTAAGGAATTATTGTAATATGGTCCATCCAGCAAATGACTACTTTCACGTATTCTCAACGTTTCAAGCCCCCTATAGTACAAAAAAATAGGATCCCCGTTTTCGTCTTTCGTCTACTGGACCGATAGTTTTTTCGCAAAAAAATCCCAATACAATCGCCCGATTAATATATCCTGCTCGCAACGCGGAGATCATGGGTTCGATTTCCTTATACTCAGTATTATCTATATTTTTTAACATATAGGAGTTATCAAAAAAAAATGTTTGGACGAAGCGAGATTTATTGTATTGAGTATACTTCAGGGACGAGGGCAGTTCGGCCTAAATTATCTTAGATTAATCTATTATATTAACTGTTTCTACGAGTATATAAAAACTAAAAAGTAAAATATAATCGATAACAAAGGTATAGAATTTTCTGATTCAAATGTCAAAATTTTTGAAATCTGACCTGAAACGAAACGAAAATGTTCAAAACTTACTTAAAAATTGTGAATAAGAGAACGATTCTGTATATTATCTCATGATTTTGTTCGTATGCATTATGGTTATACATACAAGATGACTCCAAGCTATGTACTTTTTTTGAGTTGTGTAGCGTAAGATTATTTTATTAACTATACAGAGTGTTCTTTATATTAAGGTGCAAAATACAACTGCGGTTTTCCACATGGAACTTCCTATACAAAGTATCCCAGTTAAAAATCCGCACCTTTATCTTGAGAACGAATAGAGATATTGAAATTCTGTAAACGATATTGTTTTTAGCTTAAAACGGAAATCACCCTAATTTGGTACATTGCAAATTTAAGTTGAGAGATATTTATATATTTTTTTTTCAACAGAAAATGAAATAAATTTCTAAGTGCCAGTTTATACAATATTTTAACTGAGATTAACGACACGTTTAGCGACGACTGATTGGCTTTTACAGTCGATTGTGTTCTACTTTAACGTCGTGTTAAAAATTGAATCGTAGTTAAATATTTAATTGCGCTTCTGTAAACCAGGTGTAAGTGTTATATATCACTATAATCGCTATTTAAAGGTATATCAAAATTCGTTAAAAATATATATATATATATATAATATATAATTTAAAAAAATATAGGTTTGTGTCGCATGAATGTAAAAATTAAACTTTCTTTTTCAAGTTAAAAACAACGCTGTTTACAGAATTTCAATATATTTATCCGCTCTCAAGATATAACGCCGCGGAGTTTTAATTGGGACACTCTGCATATATTTCTACAAGCACAGGTTGCACTTTTAACTTTTAGCTTTAGAAGCATATTTTATCCTTAAAATTCCGATGCGAATTGCTGGATATTTTGGCGATTTCAACAAATATTTTTAGTGTGTAGTTTCTTAGTGAACTTATTTTGTTATCTTCGGGTAACTCTTGGATAAGTTCTAATGGCCGATCCAGCCAAATTATTTTGATTGTATTGATGTGAAAAGCAGTAGGTATAGTAAACACAGTTGACTGTGCAACTTTACACATTCTTGTTTAAAAAAAATTGACGAAGGTTATCCCTTAAATACAATCTAATATCAGAGAACTCATCATCTAACCCACTCGGCAAAGAGGTAGGTATTTGACGCATAAGAGTGTCGGCTACATAACCCACATAGAAAATATTACACAAAAATCAAGGCAGATTCATAAACCACGAGCAGATGCAAACTGATGAGGACATTGTTGGTAAGGTTGATTAAACGCATTATAATTTTACAACAAGCTGCCTATTAGTTTCGGAGATTATTTTCTGTTTAATAAAAATCAACACGTACACACAGACGAAACGGGACAGTTAAGTTTTCGTGCTCTAGGGGTCATGAAATGTTGAGAAAACATGAAATTATCCTTTTCCTTGATGGATCCTATTGTAATACTTCCTTAGCTTACTCTCGGGATGTAAAAATTGAAATGGCGTTATTAACTTTCTAAAGCGGATGAGATTAATTTTAGTGAAACATTAAATTAATTTTAATATAATGCCAAAATTTCAAAATATTCGTTCAGTAAAATCCAAAATTAAGAAATTGATCTTAGGTTATTTAGGCATAACTTCTCTCGTCCCTAAAATACAGTCCAATAAATTCAGCTTGGGAAATTTTGTTTATTTTATGATAATCCATATAAATTACAAGAATATAGATACCACCACTCACAATCTACGAAAAGAAGATCGCGATGGTAGTTAAATATCGCCATCACTCAAAACTAAAAATATTATTGTATAGTTTGGATCATTTTGAGGAAAATTTGGACACATAGGATAGGCTAAAAACTCAAGACGACTTCATAAACCACAGGTGTCTTTGTAAAAAATGAATTACATTTACTACGACGTCATCACAATGTTGGTGAGGACGATTAGGCAAATTTTAGTTAGCGTTTTACATCTGCACGATATTCCTAACATACATCTAAAATGTGACAACAAACAGTCCAGTAGTTTCGGAGGTTATCTGTGTAATGAAAATCGACACAGACAGATACACTGCTAGATGACACACAAACATAGGGAGACGTGAAATCTAAACCACAAATAAAGAGCACGTCACATTACTAATTAATAATCTCTAGCCATAATTACCTAATAAATTGTGAGATGGCCTCATCAAGTACTTGGAAGCAGTTAACAGGTGAATTTTGATTAGTGACTTACCACGTTCACGGTAACCTTAAAGCGTATTTAAAATTTCAAGGTAATCGATTTTGAAATTTGTAAGTTAAATTTAAAACTTTTTTTTTCGAAAATAATAGATATGTATAAGTTTAAAAATAGACATCGAATAAAAATTCGCAACTATAAAAGCAAATCTCAAATAGAATTTACCAAGCAAAATCCTTAGACGTTGTCACCAAATTTTCGGCGGTGAAAGTAAAAATACGTTCATTCATTTTAAAATAATGTACCTAATTATGTATTGTTAAAACTATTCATTATTTTTAATACGGACAACGCCGTACTTGTAAGCACTCTTAAGAAAACAAAGTATCATTTATTGAATGTGTTCATTAAACATATGTCTAAAACTACCAGTAAACATTAAAATAGTTATTGTAAGAAGCATCGAGAGATATTTTTCACATTGAACCCTCATTAGCAAGTACTAACATAGTTTAGAAAAAAAAATATTGGGCAACAAAATAAGCGCAAAGTTTTTTTTTTATACAAAGCTTTGCAAGATAATAACACTTGTATTATTTAAGAAAATGCCAATTTTGTCTTATTTAGGTTTATATATTCCATGATATAAACTGTTGTGTTTCCTTTTAATCGACTTGTCAAGTGGGGAAAACAAGTGACAATAAATCTGATATGTGGAAAGGAACAATAACCTGATTGACAATGCACTACATCATCGCTAAAACAGTTGCAACTACTTTTAGTTTGTTGCATTGTAATAATATGTTTCTGTATTCACTAGAAAATTAAATAGGTACAGGAACAATGGAACTTTCCCGAAAGTCAATAATTCGAAATTTTGTAATTAAAATTACTTAAATACTGCAGCCTCAAACACTTGTAATAAGGTGTCGCATAATACGACTACTTATTATTTAATCAGTGTAATGTTTATTTGTTCTTGTTACCGATTAGAGATTACGCTATAAAATTTTTAAACGTAAACCACCATTGTTTTTACGAGTACATTGTGTCAGTGCTTACAGTAACTCCGCTAAAATCATTTCGTTATTTACTTTCCCGTGTGCGATTGTATACGTTGTTGGAATCAGAAATAAATGCTTTGTTTATCACTAGTAGTTACTGATGGAAATAGCTAATCCTCCATCTGCGGTTTCGCAGTTAAATGCCACTCAACGTAACTGTATCTTGCTTATTGTTGTCAAGCCTCTACCTCTGATATTAGAATCAAGATTATACAAGCTGCTTGCAATAATACATAATTGTTCTTGAACCGTGCCATAATACCAATGGAAGACAATATTAAATTAGATTTCCATCGAGGAATTCAGCTAGATTGCATAAAACAATAGAATACGCGTATATTTTGAATGCAAATAGGAATATTACCGAGACAAACGTTCCAACTTAAAGGAGCAACACAATTTTCATGCAAATATGAAATTATCCTTCGTAATAACAAAATTGTGTTCTAAGCAAAATTAACGATTAACAACCTGTCAGCCTTAACTTAATTACCAAAAACCTCCCAACAATGAATGAACAAAACGGATGCCACATAAATTCGTCGAAAATTAATAACAGAACCCAGACAATTGATTCAGTATTCAGCTCGCAACACGTCCTTCAGTTCTTTCGGCGGGACGCCTTAATCGTCGTTATTACACTATCTTTTGATAAGTTTGGGAATAGCGATGGTGAAATTCTTCGCACTGTTAGGCCCATCAAGTATAAAAGACCTGCTAATTACTCGAACAGCATCAGTCGATTCAACATGAAGTTCT